GAGGTTGGAGCGTGTGAAGGGAGTATATTTATGTATAATTATAATCACCTGACTCAGCCATAGCTGACCAGCCAGAGGGCCAGGCTATAGGGTGGGCATTTCAGTATAGCTACCCATATCTTAGAGTCAACACCTACCCTGGCTTCTCTCTAGACTTTCAACACGTAAGTTTAACTAGTACTTATTGTGTACACAGGTAGACTGTGTCCATTGCATCATTTATCAGTGTGACAATATAGAAATATGGCAAATTGAGTACTCATTGTAAGTGTTAAGATTAGACTTATTACATAGCCATGATTGTTTGTAAATATATATTGGATTAAACATTTATGTAGGAGTGCCTATGTATTACTTATTTGAAATACTAAATGAATTGTATTCAACAGGTTTGACCGAATTATAATGTTCGAGAACTACGTGAAGAGTTACGTGGCGGTTACAGTATTTGTATAATAGCAATACAGTATATCTGTTGAAATAGAATTATTATAAATTCAAAGAAACCTAATTATATTCATACAAAATTAAAAGTACTGTATGCAGAGGCACATGAATACATAATACTGTACTGCACCGAATGCTCCAACTGCTGAAATGCTGCATAAAAGTTCTTGCATTTGCAGAATGGACAACATACAGTATTGCACAGTTTAAAGGAACATTCTTATTATCAATATGCTTATCTACTATCAATGCCAGCTTGGCAAAACAAGAACTTTCTGCACTCTCCATCTACTTGTATAGCACATAAATAGATTATCCTAAACAACTTTCCTTGAGTGAGCCACATTAATACAGTACTGTATTTGCAAACACCATGAGCACTTAATTTTTCTTACTCCCTAAGACCTGAAGGAGTGCTCACTCTTAACTTTTACAGTATGTAGGAATGTTAGGTTTCAAGCTTTCAAAAAACAGATACTGTAATACAATACTGTATACAGGTATAAATAAATTAATTAAAAATTAATTGCTCATACAATAGTAATGGAATTAAGTACCGGGTAAATTGATAGGATAAAGAATATGTACACATGCAAGAATTAAGTACAATACAGTATCTCAAAAAAGTGTCTGCCAGGATGGGTCTGGTGACTTCTGAAATGCTACAGTACATGCAACTCGTGATGTCCCAGGAGGGTTGGCATGCGTGGCTCTGTTGCATACTGATTCTACATTTGGTAACCGAACATCAAATTAAATATGCTTAAATAAATACTGTACATATTGCATTACATATGTCAGTGTACTGTACATGGGAAAAAATTCTTGGGGTGGTATAGACATGAAGAACAAAGGCATGATAGGTTCGTAAAAGTAATTTATTATAGGGCAGTTCATGATACTGTATATGAATTGAAACGGTAACCAATTTGCTAAGGATTATGCAATTTCTATTTGAGTACAGTGCTGTACTGTATGCCAGAATAACAAGAGGCCACACACAGTACAGGAGACTTGTGTATAACAATGATAGAGTGAATGAAGATTGAAGTCTTAATTTAATTTGTTCTACCTAACATGAAATGAGGAGATGTGGAAGTTCTAATATCATATGAAAATAAGTTGACTGAAGGTTTGTCTGATAATTTGATAATAATATATTGGTTGGTGATTTACTATACGGTATATTGAAGATGGATAAGGACGGAGTATGTTAATTGATATTCCCAGTCCTTAACAATATACAGTACAGTACTATCAACATTATCTGTAAATTGTAGTAATACTGTACTGTATTACCATATACAGTAATCTGAACTTTCACCCAAACCTTTCACCGTCCAAGAATCCTATACACGGTACTGTACACTATTTATCATGTCCATTATCTACATACATTACAGTACCTTTATTTCCTCCCAAAATAATTATCTTTGTGGTATTTTGTCTGCTATTAAACAACTGCATACAAATAGAACTTAGGCCATTTTAATATTCTTCCAGTAATGTTTAAAACGAGTTGTCTTACAATACAGTATCTTAAATACTTTGCAATCTTTTCCAACGTTCCTTTTCCTTTACTACCACACACCCCCCAAATCCGTGGAAATGTGCCAAACTTCAAAAAAATATTAGTACAATATTTCTTCTCTCCTACACCAAAGATCCACAATCCTTATTTTAGTTATTTATAAGTAAATAAACAAGAAAGGTGCCTAAGCAAATAATTTTTCCATTACTTTCACTTATGACTCAGCACAATATTGTCACCATGTAGTATAAAAGGGAAGGTTGAGGCAGTTCACCTCCTTTTACATAACATCTTCAGAGAGGGCAATGAGTGTCCCATGCCTCCTGTATTCTGAGAGCTTTAAAGGTAAGGTGGTTCACGGTGCACAAATTAATCTATGATACACTTGTGTGTTATCCAAGACAAGTCTTCGATTTTCACTCAAAACTTTCATTCTGCTTCTGAGGATTTGGAGGAGTCTTTTTCTTGATGACTCCTGGTGTGATGAGACTTCCCTCTCTGACCGTACAATACTACAGTATTTATACATACAGTATCTGGAGATTTCTAGCAATTATTTATTGAATTTTGGCAAATGTATATTAATGCTGTGCTTTTGTGCAGAGGTAAAATGAATGTGTAAATTACTGTGAACATCTTATAGATAAAGCATCTGTATATTGTCAGTTGATTTGATACTTATATTAAATATACTGTACTGTATAATTTAGTTGTACCGGGTAATTGCAATACGTACATGGGATTACCAGTACAGTATGTTCATTTTACATATACCTGAACTGTATTATTGTTTTGGTGAAGTATTCTGTAAAAAAAACTCTTATCTACAATAAACCAAATGCTATAACTAATGACCTGTAATTTATAAATCTACATACTGTACACTACAGTTAAACCTTCATATTACGGACTTCTCTCTTCATATATTGTTAGATGGGTGTTTTACATCTAATGGGACCTCGATATAACAGTTTCCACTTCCTATAGTCCGTTAAATAAAGGTTTCACTGTACAGTACTTAAAAAAAATATTTAAAAAATTATTTGTAACTAGAACATTATCATTATATTTTTATTCCAAGGATGTTCAGCTGATTGATCCATCCCCTAATTCTATTCAAGAAATTTAACATTTGCAGAATGGTAATGGATCAAATGAGCCATAGAACTAAAGGACCCCACTCCTGATACAGTATTAAGCTAAGATTGAATAAAGCCCAGTAGGACAATACCATATTAAGGCTTGGCTCCAGTAGGACAAGAATCTATAAAGACTGGGGTTCAGTCAGACAATACCCTATCAAGACTGGGGCCCAGTAGGAAAAGAATCTATCAAGACTGGGGACCAGTAGGTTAATACCCTGTTAAGACTGGGATCTAGTAAATCAAGAATCTATTATGACAGGTCCAGTAGGGCAAAAATCTATAAGACTGGGGCCCAGTTGGGCAAGGATTTATCAAGACTGGGGCCCAGTAGGACAATATTCTATTAAGACTGGACCCAATAGGACAATATCCTATTAAGACTGGGTCCATCTGACCTGCATCCTTTAAAAGTTTAAATCATATTACATGTACAGCAGTTAAATTATGGAGCCAATCAAGGACTCAAAGTACTATCAGTTTTAAAACAATCTTGAAAGTACATTATTTAATACTGTATTGACTTTGTCCTTCTGTATAATATTTATGTTAAGGTTAAGAAAGCCTTAGAATTTTGAGCCATATGTGATGAAACATATGAGAGTTTGGTTCTGCTTGTGCCATTGATAAGATGCTAGAACAACAATGAATTGTCATGTGCTTCTTTCATTAGACACCCTTTATTAGACTCTTACCATAAATGATGAGGCCTTAAAAAAAATATGAAGACTTATAAGCTTGTCCCAGAAATTTCTGTGCCGAGTGCTTTATAAAAATGACTGCTAAAACTAATGAGATTAATTGTACAGTACCTGTACTGTATTTCATTCTCTTTGCTCATTTAAAAAAAACCCACATTGTTATAATTTGACGAAATGTGATTAACGATTTATCTTGCGCTTACCCGGTATGCAAATTTGAGTCTGATGTTGCCACTCCTACTATTTCCTCCCTTCGAGGTTTCTGCACTCCTTCTGTACCCACACAAAATTGGGAGAAAAATTTAAATAACAAATGGATAGAGTGATACATTCTGTTGTAATAAGGCTTTAGACTGGAACAAATGCCTCACAATCAGGACATAATATTTTGATAAATATATTGTGACAGGAAAGGGCCAAGATAACAAGTAGAAATACTCAACACTCACTAATCTTGAGTATACAAGGAGTAAAAAACATCCTGCCAACCACATTTGTCCTCAAGCAATAACCTGGCTGTAAACATTTATATTTCCATAACACTGTTCATCTAACAAATAAGCAATGGAGGGATCCACATGCCCTTTCGAGTCATTAACCAATTATATTACTATACAGTACTTGAAATGAACACATCTCTGTGTTCCACCTACTCAGATTTAGTCTTAGTATTACAGATTCATATTGAAATGTACAGCTCCTCCCCGACTTATGACCACCCGCACTTACGACCTGCCTCGGTCGTACCAAAATTTTGTCAAATTACCTATTTTCAAGTCCCAACGTCAGTACAGACAAAATTTTTCTTTTGTAATTCACTTTAAAATGGCTGGCAAGCTTAAAAGTGAGAGTTTTGTGGTGCTGAGAAGAAAAAGAGAGACCCATTTTAGATTTTCTATGTATTATTTAAGCATTTTCGACTTACGACCTGGATTTGGGTCCCTAACCCCGTCGTAAGTCAGGGGTAGCTGTAAATGGTTTTGGTACCCCTACCTCTGAATCCTGAAATTTCTACAGTAAAATTGGCCTTGTCTGTCTGTCTTGAATTCAACTGAAATCCTATAAAAATATTTGCAAACTACATTTTGGGGGTTTACAGAGTTATCAGAGTGGGAGAAGGTATGTCAGTCTTAAGTTTAATGTCCCCCATCAACTCACGCTCAACAAAAAAGCTTGATACGCAGGAATATTATTTATTCTAACAATATAAAACATCTTTGAAGAACATGAATTACAACAGCAAACTGTAGAGGAAATGTCAACAGAAAGAAAAACAGTTACAGTATATCAAAATGTAAGAACTATGACAGCTATATTCATAGGATTTATTTACAGAAATTCTTAAAACTTACGAATTTACATGACTGAAATTATTGAAACAAGATCTATATAATGTAGTACGTGTTCATCATTTTTTAGAATGGCTGCAAAAAATTATTTGCAAAATCTGCTACCCTATGTATTAATGAATTACAAACAATGCTATTTATATTTACTTTACACTAGAGGTCTTTCCCAAAATGCAATATAAATACAGTTATTTCGACCCCTCCATACTGACCTACAAAACAAATGAAAGGCACAAGTGGGCATCATAAAAGCAGCTACAGAATGCAACAATATTTTTTAACTCAAATGAACAAAATTTACACCAACAAGCCACATTAAAATATATTGGTAATTTACCATAACAATTACATTCTTCAAACACCTGTTTCTTTTGTTAAGTCATGAAAAAATAAAAATACAGTGCAAAAAAAAAATTTGGACACCAAGAGTTCAGAAACTTCAGAAATCCATTTTTTGGGGTCCAGATTACCTTTCCCTCTTAATGGGAAAAAGAATTATGTATCTTTTTAAATATAAAGTATGTGTATTGTACTCACAAATATGAAGAAAAAAAATAGCAATGTCCAGGTCCCAAGTATTCTGGATTTTTTATGTCGTACTATAATGACTACAGCATAATTGTGCACAGATTCATCTGTGAGAACAGGTGAGCATGTTGATATAAAGGATATTTACATCAAGTGAAGGACAAATTGCATCCTTTCACAGTTAATTTATAAGTCATTATTATCATTACCACAAAACATTCACCAAAAGTAATACAGTACTGTAAATCTAAATCTTAATACATTTGTAAATGATCCTGAAGAAAAGTGTAAAGCCTTTCTTTAAAGAGCTTTTAACTGAACAACTTATACAATCACAACGTTAACCACAATCTCATCATTTAGCAAATGGTTAGGCAACATCTTTCAACAAAAATGTTTCCATAATACTTACATAAAAAAAAAAAATCATCTGAAATCTATCGTCACTAATTCTAGGAACGGTAATCAATCATTCACTCTCTGATGAAGCAAAAACCCAGAAACACCGCAGTGGTTGCCATGTGACGGTGACTGGCAACAAATTTCTCTGTCTACTTTGGCAATTTGCACCATCTACTTTTATACAATAATTGGATTTATCTTTCGTAAGTACAATAATGCATCAAAATTTGATCTGTTTAAGATGAGATTTCCACTTCTTCAAACATGATCTTGATCTTCCATGTAGAAAGTATGTGTTATGTGTGCATTAAGAAGTTTTTCTTGGGGTTCTCAAACTTTCGTTACACAACCTCAAGAGTGCATTTCTAATGAGCATAGTGAAAATGCAGTAATTAGCCCTTTCTTCTATTTTTTTTACCCCAAAACAGAGAATGGGCTTGAGTTGTCTATGAGGATATTACAAAAGTAACTGTGGATGGTTGATAAAAAATATAAACAAAACTCTCAGTTTCCACCACCCATCAATATACTGTACAGTAATGGGAGAAAGCTTGCATGAATGGAAAAAATCCGATTTACACTACTTCCCTCCATTCTTTATTCCAGGCATTAAAGAAGAAGAATAGCTGTATCTGTCAATGCTTGTATCTGTAATATAACATCCTTCAATAGCTATTAGTTTATATCCTACAGCACTTGCATTTCTAGTGACAACCCTTCATATACGGTAAGACAAAAATAATATGACTTCATATGACACATGTACTGTACTAGTGTCTTCTGAAATCCCAATAAAAAAATTACACCACATCCAGCATCACTGCACAACATGTTTACAGAAGATAGTGTTGTCTATTGTCAAGCTGAACTACACAAAGTATCCTAATAAGATGTTCATCAAGGCTTGCATCAATTATTATCATTAAGCGCACGCATGCACGCACGCACACACACACTATATTGTCAGTCATATTTGAGAGATTACTTTTAAGGTAAATGAAATCACAGGAAGTACAAGAATAAAGAATATACATCATGGATCTGCTACGAAGGCAGTGGTTCTAAGAAGTCCCTTTCAATGACTGCTTCAATATGAGCAAAATTTGAGAAAGATGTTGATGCTGTTGCAGAACTTTGGCCTGAGCCAGAAGACGACACTGAAGTTGAGAATGGCAAGTGACTTCCAGTGATGAACTGTCCCATAGTAGCTGCTGCAGGGATGAAGGTTGGAGACACAAGTGTATTGAAAAATGGCTGCAGGTCGACCAAAGTTGAGATACTTGCTACAGTAAGCATTAGCTGACCAGGACGATGCTCCAAAGTCCTGTTGTTGTTTTTACTCCCATTCTAAAAGATAAAAATCATACAACTGGTATATTAACTCTGCTTCAACTTGTTTTATCACTTATCTATCCTGGTAGGAGTTTGCACTCCTGATTGAACTGTAAGAAATTTTAACATGCACTACAGTGAGAGGAGGATATCAATATTATACATTACATACGGTCTAAATGATATATATATATATATATATATATATATATATATATATAGATAGATAGATAGATAGATAGATAGATAGATAGATAGATAGATAGATAGATAGATAGATAGATAGATAGATAGATAGATAGATAGATTCTGCAGCTCAGAATCAAACAACATAAGTACAATATCAGAACAGCATCTGAAAGCAGTGCCTTGTTCGTTCATGTTAGGAATAATAATCATCCCATTGCTTGGTAAAAAAGCTTAGAAGTATTTAAATCATCTTGTGTCACAGAAAGACTTCTGGTTGAAGCTAGTTTGATTAAGGAATTAAAATCAATAAACCTTAGTGATGGTCAGTTCAAAACTGATAATATGTTACATAAATTTATTTGTCAGTGGTCCAAGGTTAAAAATGCTTTGAAAACCTTTGATCTAGATGTATGATAGTTATTTTGTGGGTCCCTTATTTTTTACCTGACCTGACTAGTCACGTCACCCATCTTCTCTTAAGCTCCTCTACGTGTGTGTTGGTGTGGGGATTAGTGGATGACCTGACCTCATGTTTTTAAGGTCACCCTGTATATTTAAGCCTCTCTCTGTCCATGTAATCCAGTTGCCTCTGAAGATGTCTTGAATAAAGACGAAAGCTAAGGTGCTCCGTTGTTTCCCTTTTCCCGTGTGATTTTATCAAGATAGATATATATATATATATATATAATCTGGCTGATAAATGTAAAACATCTCCTAATTATGACCAGTTTTTACTACTTAGTGAGAGAGTGAAGACACACCTTGTTTGCCATAAGTTTGGCAATACGAGCAATATGAGGCACAAAATCACAGCTCTTCAAAAGAATGCTACCGGCTCCTTCAGTTTTCTCCTCAACACTTGCAACTGGAATGGGACCCACAAATGCCCAACGATACCTGAAAAGTATAAGGATACTTGACGTTTAGAAATATACCCGTAAGCATCATCTACATGTGTAAAAATTAGAATCAGTACACAAGATCAATTTGAGGATTAGGTTACAATTTGTTTGAATATATGATAAATGGATTTATTTATAATATTTTTCCATGCATACAAGTCATTTGCCACTACAAAGCTGGATGGTAAGACTGGTTAAGATAGGTTTTGTTAGGCATTCAAATGATATAATCTAAAGGACACGGTGCTCTTGAGATCTTTATAAGTTCTTTAGTAGATTTTATCCACAGTGTTTGATGAAAGTGGCAATGTGTATTAAAATAGAAAGCAGCATTAATCATAACATGGACCTAAGAATAAAAAGTTTGCCAGCAGTTAGAGTCACACTAAAATATAGTTCGTGTCATATTCTCTCTCCTAAAAAATTTAATAAGTTTTACCTCCTTCCACTCAAACACTTACATTTGAAACTGTGGCAAATGTTGTGCAGGGAGTGCCAACATCAGATCTAAAAGTTTACACGCTGACAAGTAGAGTGTGAGCCAGGCTGGGTGGTTGTGTGCATTTAGACCATTCTGAGAGCTAAACACCCAAGATGAATCCAATGTAGACAGCCGTTTCAGATGAGAGCTGAAATAGTTCCACAATTTCAGAATGCTATGAAAGGTGGATGACAATAGGTTGTAAGGTACAGTATTATTATGCATTCATCAAACTTTAACACAGATAATTTAAGTTTATACAATTTCCATAAATAACCCCATAAGATAATTTTGCTTTTAAATATCAAAATTATGTTACAGTATTTTACTAATATAATCAATGAATAATCTGTATACAAAACTAACAAAATACCAAATGCAGATCAAAGTTTGAGCCATGACCCATACAACAGCCTCAAATTTATATTTGCATCAGCTGCATTAAAAGCATACTGAGGAAGATTTGCAGAGAGTATGTCGTTGTGGCGCCACTTGCAAATACACTAGCTTGTAAAATACGTACAGATATGAACATGTGGTACTAAATGAAGTACAGTAGCCTCGGGGTATTTTGCGATTTTTTTATTACGCTCTACCTAAATTAATGCCATTTTACCATATATTGTGAGAAATTTTCGATTTTGCAAGAAAAGCCAGGATGAAAGTGCCTTACATCAACCACTGCGCTGAAACAATTACGACATGTGCAATTCCCCAGTTACATTTTCATTCATTCAGTGGTCAATCAAAGTCAAGAACACTTCATTTTACCCCCACAATTCCCCTTGAGTTTACCACATGCACCACTTACCAAGATATCTAAATGCTCAGCAGTTTTTTCACCTTCCAGTTAAAGTGAGAAAAAGAAGAGAAAGACATTTAAATTAGAAGAAAGAGTTAAAATCTGGATGAATTTCATCTTGAAGTGCGTCGGTCGTGTCACACTGAAATGGGATACCGGTAAATGAAAGCACGATTCACAGCATCAGACTGAAGGTTGACAATATTTGTGCAGCATATGCATAGTCATCCATATCTAAGACCATCCAGCATGTAAGGCCGTCACTGTACCAAAAAATGGAAATACTTTGAAGATATGGATAGTGAGTACTGTATACAATGATGTACACTAAGTGGTCTAATGATTTGGTTTTAGGAAAAGTAAATTCAAGCTCGGTTCTTTGAGAGAGATGGCAAGCCAGCTAATGACAGAATAATTGATATCAAGACAAGGATGGTTTTAAAGCTTCATTAAACATGCCAAGCTACACTGCATGACTCTCACTGGGGAGCTGCACCAGAGAAATTGAAGGAAACACTGACAAAATGATTGAGGGAAATGCTTAAACCCCCCCAAATTAATTTTTGGTTTATTCAGGTGTCCAAGAAACATTTATTTGGGTGTGCTAGAAATCCTCTGTTTCGTTTCTATAGGTGTTACAGAATCAGCGATACTGGATGACAGTTGCACAACTTGAGGAAATTGTTCCACAAATGATGTTTTCTTACCTCACAAAAAGCCCAGAAAATTGGGAGGGAATATGTTTTTGATAAATAATTGTTTTACCATTTTTCTGTCACAAACATACATGCCATGGTCACTACAATGTAATAGCTTCAAAATTTACATTTGGGATGATTTCATTTCATCCAGGAAATAAGTAATAGTACTGAACGGTACAGTATTTAAAAAACTTATTCCTTCCCATTTTGGGGCTTTTCATGAGGTTAAAATATACTGCACAGTATTCATCTTTAAAAAAAAAACCCTCAAGTTCATGGTTGATCTGCACAAATACCATTTCGTATTACAGGACGGACATCCCTGGTCTGGAATTCCACAGTACAGCACTAATTTTTCTCGTCATATATCAATTTTTTTATGCTTCCTGTATGTATTTCCTAATGACAGTACAGTACCTAAAAATTGTGTAACAACACTAATGCATTATGTTATGATGGGCGACTTACTTATACTCAAGTATAGTTTTATAATTAAATATTTATGCACAAAGTAAGGGGTCAAACTATATATGCTTAATATTTTTGAGGGGTTAAAATTCATGCATTTTCGTGGGTCATTAACGGTGAACCATAGCTACCGGGTAAAGTAGTACTTTGCGAATGTTCCCAGTCCCTATCTCGCAAAACAACCTGAGGCTCCTGTATGTCAAGATCTCCAGTGTATATGAATTATGTACTTTTTATCTATTATTGGTCAAACAAAAAGTCTCATCCTGCAAATTAAAACAAATTTTTACTTGTTGCAACTCTTGAAAAAAATCTTATCACACCTGAAACATTTTTGACGGCAGGCAAAAGGGTGGGAGCTTTCAGAGCAGAAGTATTTTAACAAACTCATAAATTCTATAACTATAAAAATGTTTCAAATGTTTATGCAGAATATTTAAACATGTGAAGGTGTGCTGAAAGTCAATGGCTGAAATATTTAGAGAAGCATTTACAATATTTTCCTGGGGAAATACCCAATAGGTGTGAAAGAATTAAAAACCTTATACAGTACAGTACTACTTTTTGGACAGATCTTTAACCTGTGCAAGGTTTGCTCACTATTGTAATACAATACATAATTTATGTGTCACAATTTACTTTCACAGACAAATACATTCTGTAGTTAATATCAAATGAAAAAGAAATATACAGTATTGAAAAAATAATATTCCACTTAAATGAGTATAATGCACAAAGACCACATTAATAAACAAATTGCACATATTACAGATACCTACTTTTCATTTTAAGAGGCACTTGATCTTGGCTGTCAAGCTAAAAAGATTACAGTACAAAAAAGTACAATAATACAAACAAGAGAATAGCTTACAAATAATGCTTAGTTAATTTAGTTAATACTGTACCAATATTATCTCTAGCTGGACTGCCAAGAATGCAATTCTACAACTGAAAGTTAATAGTTCATCACAATCAAGGTAACCTATACAGATGAGAAATTTTCGACTTACACCCAAATTACGAAGCATGCCTTTAGTAATTAGTATACACGGTATTAACTATTTTATAATCCACATTACCATTCTGCTAATACAACATTCCATTACATTAGTGCCAAAGTGTTGTAACTCCACATTTAAAAAATAAAATAAAATAAAAAGTGTACTGTAGTGTACTACGAAAATAAGCTGTCCTCACACAATACATGATTTGGTGAAGGCCACACTGGGGTACCAAGTACGGTACCCATATACATGTATCATACAATTAGTTCCTTTTTAATATATATATATACAGTATATATATACTTGTGTGTATATATATATATATATATATATATATATATATATATATATATATATATATATATATATATATATATATATATATATATATATATATATATATATATATATATATACTTGTATATATATACTGTATATATAAAACTAAATTACTGGTCAAAGATCCCTTATCCAAAATTCTGAAAGCCAAATTTTTTTTACTGGAACCTCCTACAAGTGACTATGAAGGTATATACTGTACTGCACAGTACTGGACTGGGCATCTAGTATGATAGGATAAAGATAATCTAATAAGCTTTATCTCTATAATTAAGGATTCTGAAAAGCTATATGTACAATATACGGTAAGAGCAGTACATGTTCAACAGGTAAAATCTCATTATGAGGAAACCAAGAATGTGATGTTTTTTTTACAGTTTCACATAGGCTATGCAGATTAGCAGTGTCCAACAGTTTGAATGTGCCCGGACTTGGGGTCAGACAAGTAATTTTTCAAATTTGTGTCCGGCACTTGCCCAATGGACATGTACTGTACATATTTTGGAGGTCTGTCATCTAGTGAGGTGACAGGAGGGGGGATGTCTGTATGTGCATGCTTGACTTGACACCATATCATGACATTACAGCTAAGCTGGTCCCTTCTATTTCTATTGGTCTATTCTCACAATGACCTGACCTGAAAGTCTGTGTAGAGGCTCCCACTAACATGAAGAAGCAGCAAGATAAATTTACCGGGTGAGAGTAAAAGGCACTTAGATGGACACAAGTGATCTAGGAGTTGGTAGATACAATATATTTGAATGTTTACAATGTTTATTTAACTTTTCCTATAAAAAAAATAGGCAAGCAAATTTCCTCCAAAATTTGTCAGGGCAAGTAAGAAAAATATCCGGACAAGTAAATTTCATAAGTCACTTGCCCGGGACAAGTAAATGTTCAGCATATTCTGCACAGCCTGTTTGTGCAGTCACATGATGGTCTAAGCCAAACCCCATGTATTTTAACCCTTTCACTGCCTCATAAGATTTCACGGTTCCTAATAAGTCACTTCTCCTTCAACAAATGAAAATTGACCCAAAGATTTTGGATGTTAGGCTCTTGACCTATATCATATATCACCAAATAATCAAGCAGGAGCTACAATACTTTCACTCTAAGGAAAAAATTCAATGTATAACTGCTTAACATCTACCAGGCCTCTACAGGTACACATGCATCAACTGTGGGGAGTGGGGTATGTTACTTTATTAAGACAACTACAGAACATGCACTAAATTTTTTTTGATCATTTGCACATGAATCACTAAATGATTGATCAATATCTTAAAGATGACACCTGACAAACCAAGTTAAACTGTTCAGAGGGAATTGTAATAATAATTTTTAATTATAAGAATTTATAGAAGATACCGTAAATACAACAATACCATCGCATCAATAAAAACCTAATGTAGCAAATCTAATATGTCCTGACCTAAACTACTGTGACTTAACTTTTAACATGTATCATTAACATGTTTTTAAATACAAAATAATATTGTATATCTAAATGTGCTACTGCATTTTTACCAGGCTTATAAATTTCATCAAACTTCTTGTGAAGAAACAGAAAATTTTCCCTTTTCAGCAAGTTATATTGCTTGTCTGTACCTAGTCACCATAATATACTGTACAGCATTTTGCATGACATACACATATGTAAACAAAGTAAATATAAAAAATAATCATGACCTTTCTCATGATACAGTATATGGTCAAAGGTAGTAGGTAGCAGGGAGCTACCAAACAGGGAGGTACTACCACCTGGGAAAATGTTGGAAGCATAATGTGTTGTCTAATGGTAGACCCTGCTCCCATATGGCATCACAAAAATTGTGACCAGGTCCCAGGTTGTTGATCAGACTTTCTGCCTCATTTACACACATTTGCAGGGTCTCAATTGTTTCTCTTACTTTGGCAACACAACATACATAATGTATTTCGTTTCTCATTCTCAATTTATTTTTTTCGTTTTTTTTTTTTGGTTATCATTAGGTTTGTAGTTTTTTAATCATTATAATAATAATAATAATTATTATAATAATTATTATTATTATATTTTCGCCCCCCAGGCCCTGATGTGAGTCAGTGACCTGTGCCCGGGTGAGCTAACCCCAAAAAAAAAAAATAGATAAATAAAATAAAATAATTTACTTCATGTTTGTACTAACATAATATGAATAACTATTTCTGACCCTTGAATTTTAAGGATAAAAATTCATCCTCAGGTAAGATTGTTACCCTTGTTAGACCAGTTATAATTATAACTTATTGTGCTTCATGCAATATGAAAGAGAGAACATGATATATAT